AAAATTAAATAATAAATTAAATATTTTTGCGAATATATTCTTAAATTTGGCTTTAAAGCTTTTTTATTCAGTATGATGTGTACTAGCTACTATATAAATACTGAATGGTTTTTTTATTACACTGCATGTAATCTATAGCTGTACAAAAATATATACGACAGCTCCGACAAAGCTTTTATTAATTTTAATATCATAAATATCTTGTGGCGCCTCGCATTTCTGTCTTGATGAAATTCCAGACTCCGCTTCCTCTCATAAATGTATGGTCTTTATGGTCGCCGTTTAATCACCTCTTTCCATGCGTCTGGTGTTTGCCAAACTCAGAGCATCTGTCGTCGGTCCGGTGTGTTCTGCCGTTTTGCAAAGATTTAATTCCAGCCTTGGATGATTCCATTGACTTGGGAATGTCCGCCAGTAGTAAATCTGCGATGCCTGCAGCATCCGGTCTGCATTTCCGCCGCTCCCAATCGATGTTTCAACACATGATTCGAGTGTTCCGCGACATAAACCATTTCTTGTGAATCATATGAAATGATGATCCTCTCAACCGACACACAGCGTATTTCGGGTCTCCAATTATAAAGAGAGTTATAAAGCAGAGAAGCCGTAAATCCTAAAATTTTACGATTTCGAAGTTATAAAGTCAAAAGAACTTCAAAATTTTCTTATTTTTAAGAATTCAAATCCCAAAGCTACTACGAAATAAAAATTTGCAAATCTTTACGTAGTAAATCTCACGTTTTACGTTTCGAGTTTTACAATTTTTGGTTTTTAATATAATAATAGCAATAACATTTTTTAATCCAAATCTATTATGCTAAATATATAATAAGTTTGAAGGAGTTTGGAGAAGTTGAGTGAGATTTAACTCTAATCGGTATACGCAGGTTCAGTGGATTCTGAAATTTTCTTCAACTATATTGTGTATATTTATAACAAAAATTGTTTATATCAAATATTTTTTACCTTACATAATTTTAAGTTATGTAAGCTTAATTCTCAGATTTTGGCTTTAAAATAAAAAAATTGTTCAGTTTACTTTAATAGCGAATGCTATTGGCATTCAGTACGTACTAGTGCACATTAAAGCCGTCGTACAGAATAACGTAAAGATATGTTTATAAATAAACATAGAAATTGATTAAATCGTGAAATACCCAATACATTTTATTGTACTATTAGATAAAATATGTATTTCATTAATAGTATTTCATTAATTTGAAATATTTGCATTTCATTTTTATATATACTCAAATTAAATCAGTGTACAAATTTAATATGCATCAGTGCGCACTCATATGCACTAGTGCTTTCAATAGAATTCAGCATAAGTAAAGATAGTTTATGGACACTTCACCTTCTACCATTTCATTGTTCGACATTTTATCGTCAATACTTATTCATAAGACATTTTACCGTCTAATACATTTCTTCATCCACGACACTTTACCGTCTAATATTTATCCTTCAAAACATTCTTTTTGTTTACATTCTTTTGGGTGCCATACGGATACTTGGACTTTGTCTGCGGACTTCTTCATCTACGTCGTTATTTGTGACGTCATAGATATAAATTCCAATTTAGTTTTTATTACAATGCTAAACGATTAATGTTTCATTTAAAATCTTTTTTCTTTTGTAAAAATAAAATGCCACTTGATTTTGTGAAAAATATAAAGAATATTTAAGATGTAAAATGACTTTTCTTAAGATTTGTTTGAAGTTTTTACTATTTGAAACTAATATTCTCTATACATACGTATCATTTTAGAGGGGGGGGGGGGTAGCCAGGCAAACATTAATTATAAAAATAGCCTTAGACAATTGCGTTACTGCTTCATTAATCTACTTTTTTTTCTTTCTTTCAATCCCCTGTATATGGATTTCCGACTCCATATAAAGGATTACAGTATCTTCTAAACCTCTTCGGGGAGGCTCGCTTGGATTTTTGGATTCAATAGTATTGAAATTCTACTCTCAGAGTTTGTAAACACTCGAGGGGACCTACAGTTTAACGTCGAATCCGAACGACGAAGCGCGAAAAATCCGAAAAATTGGATAACTCCGATTAATGTAAGGTATAAAAGACTTAGTAGTTATTTCATGATACATACGTGTAGTGAAATAGTAAAGCATGTTGTGTGACAAAATACAAATGCTTTGCTTTCGTATTCATTGTTTAGTTTGTTGTCTTATATATCCCACCTGTTTGGGATATACATTTTTAGTGAGGAGGATTTATGCCCAAAGCATACAAAGTGCGCAGATTGAATTCAGTGCACTAAATGCATAAACGCATTATATGAAATACGTACTTCATATCATAACACTTGTAATATATGTAGAAATATTATAATTATTATTTATTATTTCATATTTTCCATTCTTATTCCTTAATAAAACTTTATATAAACGCATTTTATAAGTTATTGTGTCATTATACGTCTTATTTATATGCATTATTTATAAATTTTTCATAAGCCGTACATATGAGTAATCCATCCCACCTCTATAGAATATACGGTAAAAATGCAAGGATTTTAAAAAATTTATTTTTTAATATGAAAAATAACTATTTTGGATTTTTAATTTTTTTTCATAGTAGTTCACAGTACAAAGTTTTTACTGATATAGTTCGTTTACTATAAACATAGTAAATAATACTTAATAGATTAAATTTTTAATAGGTGTGGCGTATATACCGTAGGGGAGATCGAGGCTAATAGACTCATTTTTCAATTTTGAATTTTTACAGACATATTAAGAGACTTATTGAAAAAATGAATTTTTTACCAGTTACTGCATACATTTGACTACCTAATAATATTTTAGTAATAAGGAGAAATTGATAACTAATATGAAAAAAATGCATTTTTCTAATGCATTCCATCTGATTCAATTAGCTCCGGGACCGGAGTAAGGATAGATTCGACTAAGATTATTAAAATAAAGATTAATGTGAATTTTAAGCTACATCTTTGGCTACATATTATATATATAAAACTTTTATAAAAATATATTTTAAACACAAACATTCGCTTCGCAGGGCAAAATAATACTTTTTTTTGCAAAATTCGTTTCGTGCAAAAACATGTCGAATAAGTCTAGTTTTCGAGATTGGACAGGATTGAGAGAACTAAACTTATAACATTTACTGAGGAAAATCTCTTTAAAGGAATAAAATTTTGAGTAAGTACTAAGAGTCGTCACTAAATGAGTCATACAGTTCCACGCTGTGGTTAGTCTACCATCTCCATCTGTTCATTTTTTAAAAACATTAACAATATATGACAAATAAGACATATAAAAAAAAATCTATTGGACTTTATTAAGTAAAAACTACATTTACTGTCTAAGTAGGAATCAAATATCTCAGATAATCATATACGATTGTAAAAATTTTAAGAATAAAAATATTTACTTAGGTGTATGATTTTTTTAAATTGTGGCATAACTTCTATCATAGATGTATTTACAACAAGATGTTACAGCAGACTTTAGCGGCAGTTTGCTGCTCAGACACGTTTACGCGTGTTTTGTTTTTAATGTAGCCTCAATTATTGCCTCAATTATTCTACTTACTCCTATATTCAACTGACCCTTCCCTACTTTATATGGAGTGCAAGTGGGATCGAACCGAATCCACAGATCGCGAGTCAATCGCACTGATTGTGAGTGACGAACCACTCGGCGCTCCTAAGGCCATATCAGACTACCGACTCTAGGCTGATTCTGACTGCTGATCCTCAGTAGACCAATCATAGCGCCGACTGAATGGATCGGCCAACTTGCGTTTAGATTTGAATCTATTTTTCGAGTCAGCGTCGTCAGCGACTCAGAATTGTAACCAATAAAAATACAAGATTAATCACGTATAGTTTGGCAGTTGTCTTGTGTATAAGAAAAAGTAGTTTGTAAAACAGTCTAGTACAGGAACAGAAAACAGATCTAAAGTTATAATGATATGATACAGTTATATGAATAAATACATTATTATTTAATGTATGTTATATTTACGTTCATAATAACATATATTTGCATTGCATTCATAATAACATATATTTGCATATTAAGAAATTTTGTGAATCTATCAACCGGGTTACCTAAAATTCATTCACATCTCGATTTTCAGATATCGTATTGTATCCGATACAATTCTGAGATTCACTCGCGTTTTAATAAATTTTACTTTTTTATACAATTCATGTATATGAATCTATATATAGTCTATAGAAACATATTGAGTCAGTCGGTGATCTTCGGCAAATATCAAGTATGATCAATCAACTAGAATCGATAGTCAGCAGTCGGATCGACCTGCAAAGTCAGTAATCTGATATGGCTTTAATATTTACTTTGCTTACCAAGTCGTTCTCAAATATTAGTGCATAGTGGGAAAATAAAAATTACTGTTCAAAAATTGCTGCAGATCGCAATTTTTTTCCTCACCGAACAACGCCCTTATATGCTGGCGCCTCTATGTGATGCAACCATCTTAAAGTTCAATAAACTCGCGAAAACTAATTAAGTAATGATTTAAAGAAAAGATTCGAAACATTAAGAAAAAAAGCTTTTTCGGAATCTTCTATTAATATTTTGAAATAACTCAGAATGTCCGCAAGTATGTTCTTGGCATTTCAAATCTTTTCTTTAACCTCTCAGGCATCTTGACGGCGTGCATTCATCAAAGAGATCGTTAAAGAAGGATCAATAAACGTTTTTGTTGCAGAGAAGTATGCGTGGACGAAGGCCAACAGTTATCGCTGGCGCACGGATGTCAATTTTACGAGGTGAGCGCCGCGGAGAGTCCCGCGGGAGCGGCGTTAGCTTTTCAAGCGCTCCTGCGGGAGGCGAGATCGGTCCAACTTCTGCGAGCGTTGCCGATCCGCAGAAAACTGGGCGTACACTCAGTCTCGAGAGTCCTCGGGACAATCTTCGGTAAGAACACTACCAAGGATCGTAAAAAGAGGCCATCGTTGAGTATATGACGCCTTCTATGCGCCCTCCTCCTCGGAGGACGAGATGAGCCAGGCAAGAGAACTGACATCGTCGTCCTCAGCAGTAACGTTTACTCCAATCGTTGACGAAGTCCTCAATCAGGACGTAAAATCTCCTTTGTGCCTTCCTGAAGAAAGACGGTCATCACTAGGATCCGAGGACTGTTCTCGGTTTTAGAAACGACTTTTTGATGAGAGAGCGATCCTTTTCTTCAGGCGAAGAAATATGCATTTGCTAATGGCAACCAAACTTCCGAAATTTTGAAGCATATTCGGGGAACTGAAACTCCGAGGACGTAAGACTGATTTTCTGGCTTTGAAGTTATGCAGGATCCAAGGTACGATACACTCTGGAAGTCGGACGTGCAGAGTATCTAAGGCTCTTTTTAACATCCGGTAACTGAAAGTTCACTTCGAGAAGTTCCAGTCATGGAGGGCGGCAACATTCATCTAAAAAGAAAAAAACTGTTTCGTGTTCTGAAGAAGGATGTTTACGTGGTGTTCGCGTATGATCCTGCTTTCGATGGTGGGAAGTGAGTAGACTCAGAGATTGTTTGTGATATGCAAAAGTACTTTTTTAAATACTGCAATATTTCACAGTGATTACAAGTGACTGGCAAGTTGTTCCTGAACGACGTAGTCTTTAGAATGATCAAGAATAATCTTATGATTGCGAATCGCCTCGCAATCGGTTCCGCGAGTGCAAATTTTACAATTTGGGATACATAAAATACTTACACATCTCTTGGTGTTTAAGTTATTACATTATTAACCCTAAACAGTACATATGAAATGTAATGAGTTTCATAAATGTTTCTCATGTTATTTTTTATGATATTTATAAATCTTCTAAACTCTTTTCGAAAGATTTCTATACGATTTTTAAACTCACAGTTTTCACACTTCTATTCTGTTTCCCAGCTTTTGTTTGTTTGATTTTAAAATTAAATATTGTGATTTACGGGCATAAGATACTGTTTAGGGTTTATTTTTTTTTTCTTCTAATCTTCTTTCGAACGAAACCCGTGAGTCTTTCAAATTTCGATATTTCCACCAAGTCGAAGAGATTCGATTTTCTGCCTATCGCCTTATTTGTATCTGGAAGATGTTTGCAAGCGCTCTTATTGAGAGCGACTTCAACATCTTCGCCATCAGGCGTGATTGATTCGATGACTTTAATGTTCCTAAAGAAAGTAGCCTAAGTGTAAATAGCGCACACGTTCACTTATACTCTGCGGAGAGTCTCAGAGACTTAAATAATCATTAAGATTTGCATACGAAAGAGGAGAAATAATGAGTGCGGACGCTAAAATATTTACAATTCAAAGATCATTATTTGATTTGTTTATTTGATCTGATATTCAATATGATCGTAAAAAAAGAATGAAACAATATAAATTTGAATCTCAATTAAAGATGAATTTTGTTATTTTATTGCAATTTTTTTTTTTTTTTTTTTCGTAGATCAGAATAAACAATAAGGGACGATCATTAATGACATAGTGGAAGTCTTATATTGTAATAATATGTACTCATTTTTCGGACGCATTTTCATCATGTTCTGCGCAATATCTGTGATTCAATTCGCTATCTTTTACTCATATACACATAGCAACGCGACTGTCAGTTACTTATCAATGCAAACGAGGTTTTATTAAAAAATAGGAGAAAGAGAAATTAGAAGTAATTAAATTGACGATTCTTAACTTGTATACATTGTTTAAAAACCGACATTGCTGTACTACGTTGAATGGAACAGATTAAATAAATCAGATTAAATAAATCATAACAAAAGAGGAAATAATATGTAGTTATTCATATAATCGTTGTCGATTAAATTAAACAAGTTTTATTACTATAGTATACACTAAATAAACTCCTAAGCTAATCCTAAAATGAACATTTTAGCGTTTTGTATTTCTTTGTTTGAAAATCTCTCCCATGAGAAATTATTCAAAATGGCGAATTGAGTCACACTCTGTCATTGGCTAGCAAAAATACGCACGTGCACTTTATTACTTCCACCATGATTAATGAATTAAAAAAATATTAATGATCGCTTGTGAATGATTACCGTGCTGCATTCGTCAGTAATGATAGATTGATTATCGTCTATTTTATCGTAAAAAATGTTGATTGTTTGCCTTTTTTGCTAAGCTCCTCAATCGCGCGCGATGTTTTGTAAATTCATCATTTTTTTTTTACGACAAGCATAGAGATTATGATCGACTTTTGAGGTTTGTAGTTCATAAACACTTCGAGAGTGCCTTCCGGACGATAAAGTCCATTATACTTTTTCGCTAACCGCTGACTTTTTGATGCGAGTGTTAATGAAGAAAAAAAAGCGACTTTATTTACATTATGTTTAAGAAAATGGAGTTAACGAGCGGTATATTGCCCTTTTTAGCAGAAAAAAAGACCGTAAAATACGGACGTTTAAAGCTACAATATACTCTTTGCTTCTTGCTTTTTATCACTTTTAACTTTTTGTCTTTTATTCTGTTTCTTCATTTTCTGTCGTCTATAAAAATTGACGAACTTGGAAAGAGACAAGAAATACGATTTAATAAAGTTAAAAAGAGGGAAAAAGGCAAAAAGTATAAAGTAAGAAATCAAAAGCAAAGAGCATATTATATTAAACCATTCGATGAAGCTAAGTCTCTCTTTTTAATGATACATTCCACTTGAAATTAGCGTCCCTCTGAAATGTACGTATGTGTATGTGAGTGAGTGAGAGAGTGCGTAATTCGATTCCAGGCAGATGTCGATCGCTGTATTCGAAGTGCTAGTCACTTGTTATCGAGAGAAGATAATAATAAAGAAGCGTCTTTTGTTAAATCTCGTCAAATTTAATTTCCCCGCCCTATCGCCTGTTTCCTATCTACACCGTGAATCATCGATGGTCATTCTGGGTAAGTTATTTTCAAGGTATATTATTGTACATTTACAAATTTTTATACTTTTATTTATGCAATTATATGAGGAATATTGTTCTTTTATGTAAATAATATACTAAAATAGCTCTGATTTTTTTTTCAAATCTTCCAGCGTTCTCATATATTTATTTGAAATTTATGAATGCTAGCTAGAATTGAAATTAACTTGTTACCATATTATTTTCTGTGAATCAATTACGAAGCCCGAGAGGCGTCACGAAAAGTCGGCCGGGCAATCCCACAAGTGAATTTAGCGAATTTCGTTAAGCAAATCCGCTGTCGGTTGAATAACTAACGATTCGGGCCAAGGTTTTGGGTGCAGCACGTGTTTGTTCGTCTCTGTCAGGTCGCGATACAGAAATAAAATACGGCTCCCTCCCAGGGCCCCCGATGTATGCATTCCCTCGCAATGACGGCACGATCACTCGCGCGTCGACAGAAAAATGCAAAAAGAAAGGATAGTGATGCAGGAGCGATGGCTCAACGGAAATAAGGGATCGAATATCTCGTGAGAAATGAGTTTTAAATTTTTGTTGATGAGAATAATTTATAGAGGGAGCTTTTAATGATGTGGCAATATATTACAAGCTAAATCATTAAAGAATTGTAATATATAATATTAATGGTAAAAATTAAAATATGTACTAATTTATTCGAAAATTTAATTTTCTTTAAGGAATATTTAAAAAAATTTCATAAAAGAATATTTTTATTGTTAAGTCATTTTATGAATGTGTTGTAAAAAATATAAAAAAGAGAAAAATAAAGTAAATTTTGATAGCTTATATATTTTTGAAAATATAAAAATAAAAAAAATATAAAGACACAGATTTGACGTCAAGCAACTTCAAAATGACGGTAATATCTGCGGTGACGTTAAAACTGACAAGTAGTCAGTTTGTTTGTTGGAGTTTGCTCAATTTTGCTTATTGTATCAATGTTCGAATCAGAAGTCTACACCGTTCATGTAGATGAAAGGACCAAGCTTTTTTCGTATACGTCGGCATGAAATGACATTACGAAGTGATAAGTGGGTACAAGGGTTCAAACCCTGGTCGGGTTTAAGATTTCCGAGTCGAGTCATCTAAGTCTAAGCGTTAGAGAATTCCCCGTAGGCTGCGCACTTCTCATATTACCTTGCGTCCTTTACATCCGTTCCCTTCCTCGAAGATAAATGATCCAGCTGTACAGGTAAAACGATGCCCTGATGTTGTCGATTTATCGCCACGAATGTCGCGACGCGTGGGGACCATGTCACTCGAGGATTATATTGGTTCGCCTCGAGCCCGGATAATTTCAATTTGTGTATTTCATCCGGGAAATCAAAACCTCGGGCCAAAGTCTGGATATTCTCTCCTGTACAGTACACTTTACTAAATTGATCTTGCTACGCTTAAGAAGCTAAGTGAGACGTTGCGGTTTTCCTATTGCATTAATCCTAGAAGTGTCTTATTCGCTAAAAAAATGAAATAAATATAAATAATATTAAAATAAAAGCCCAACCAATAAGAGCTAATAACATGATAATTTTGTTTGTGTATATTATTACTATATCAATTCTTATTTATTCTTAATATAACATCAACGTTTCGGCTGCTTTTTTCAGCCTTCAAGATAATGAAACAAATATAAAAAAATATATAAAAATTACAAATTGAATTCTATTTTTTCAAATGTAAGCTCATTTCAATAAACCTTGAGTAATTTTCCATTACATTATATGACCTTTTCTTAATTAGTTTTATGGCTGATAAGTTCTGGCTATGGCTGATAAGAATGCAATAATTTATTTTCATAATAAATAGCTGTATTATTAAAAATTTTGGATTGTAAAGTAAGTTTTTTTCGTAAGTTTTACACATTTTTTTGTTTTTGTTGTTACCTATCATTTTTTTCATTGTGCAATAGTTTTGTGTGCACATTTAGTTTTATTATTCTGTAAGCAACTTTTTCAATTATATTATTTAAGAGATTATCGTGGAAAAGGTTAGGTGATCTACAATGAATCATTTTGACGTAATGGACAATGAACCATGGTATGTTGTAGACCATTAATTTTTTATGACCTTCAAAATAATTCATTGTAATCATTATTTAGAATACAACTCCTCCTCCTACCTAAATCTTAATAAAAATATATTCATTTTTATACGCGTTTTCACTTAAAACGAAAGAAAAACGCGATAATCAGCCTGTAAATCTTCATCTTATAATTACCTATTTTATAAATAAACATTTTAAAATATAGCAAAACTAAAAATAAAAAAAATAATCTCAACAATTCGCAGTATAAAAACATATAGTTTATTATTAAAAATAGCACAGTTCATTGTATATACACCCCTTGTATATAATGAACTATTTCCCGATTTTTTTAAATAATCGAAATTGTGGCTAAATTTAAAAAATAACTTAAAAGTTATTATTTACAGTATGTAACCAATTAAATTCATAAACTCATAAACTATATGCCAAAACTCAGATCTTCAATTTAATACTTTAAAGAGATATAAGCCTCTGAAATTTACATGATTCATTGTTGGACCACTTACTCTATACGTAGTAATTTAATGATTCGAAACTTTTGCAAGCTTTAATCTTGCGTTGATTACATATTTTCTTTGCGATCTTCATGTCTTAAGGTGAATACAAAGCCATTGAAATTTTTTATATTTAATGTTACTTTTCCCCTCTTCCAATAATTATTACAAATTAATTTTAATAAGTATAATTAATCGAAACTTTCACCGATTGCGATCATGCATTAAACTTGCATTAAACTCGCAAGTTATTTATAGAATTCTTAATATCATAAATAGAATATTGAAATTCTCTACATCTTGAATGTGACTTTTTAAACAATTTTTGCTAAAAAGATACTGCTGATATTAATTAGCTCTAGATATAGGAGTGCGTTAAGAAAGTACCAAATTAATTCTATTAGAACTCCGTCGCGCGCGCGCACCGTGTTAACTGAGTGGGTGGTGTTATTACCCGCTAACGAGCAATTTAATCCGGCGCGCGGCACGCGATATCACCGATAAACTATATCCCGACTTATCTCGAGCTGCACCAGGGAACTGCTTGCTGGTAGCAATTCGCGTTCATATGAAAAATCGACGGGTCGTGCGCGAGTATTAATCAGCCTGCCTCGCTTTCATCCCAGTTCACCCGGTTTAATTAATAGCGCCATTGGCGACAATTAGAAATTCAGATTCATCCGAACATACGCTCGTACGCGCCCGCGGGGCCAACAATGACCACTTGCCGACTGCAATCCCGGAGGCCGACTTTCGACAGGGAGTTGGCTCTCAAATCGAGGGATACATTGGAAAGAGGAACAGCCAAAGGCGGAAGAGAGGGATTGACGGAAAAGAGAAACAGGAGGAGAGAGAATCGCAATTCGCTGTCAGCAAAAGGCGAAA